GGACTAGGACTAGGACTAGGACTTGGACTAGGAGGACTGGGACTAGGACTAGGACTTGGACTAAGAGGACTAGGACTAGGACTTGGACTAAGAGGACTGGGACCAGGACTAGAAGGAATAGGACTTAACCTTTAATCGACTTTCTATCAATATGATATGCACACTCCTAATGCTACTCTCCACATATTTCGAGTAGTAATCGAATAAGGGGAATCTGTGTAACAATCAATAACTTCAGTGGTTGATAATTTCTTTTCCTATCATCGCCGTCATGATTGACTCAGTAGCGATACCATAATATCAGGAAGCATTAAATACAAGGAGGATTGGCTGGTAACTCTTAGGGGTGGGGTAAGAGGGTTAACAAACCTGTTATCTCACACTGTGTATCTCCTAGAAGGTTATCTAGCTCTGAAACACAAAATGCATAGGTGTGTTTATTTTAGTTTCTTTTATTTTCTTTTATTTTATTTTATAGTAACTTCCATTTAGTGACAAAGAATAATGATAAAAATAATATAAAAAGGTATTAAATGAGGGACTAACGTAGGGACTCGAAGTCTCAGCGAGGTCAGCCCCCATAAGTATATACTATACTAAGACATATGTAAACAAAAACAATAATCAACAACAGTTGATTAACTCTAATGAAGAAAAAATCAAAGTGGAAAACTTGGAAAGGAGGGTACATCGTCAAAGTTCTTACCTCTCGTACGAGCACTCTTGTAGTGGAGCCTGTTGTTGCTTAGGAACTAGGACAAAGAAAATTGGGATGCAAGCTTTGGTTTAGAAAGTACATATAGTGTTCTAAACACAGTAAGTTACAGAATGGGTATAAATAGTAATCGAAAGAAAGTTACTGTTTTAGCATAATTCTGAATGAAACAAGATGGGAGAAAGAGTTAGTAAAACGGAGCAGTCATTGTGGTAGCCCGCCCTATACAGGATTCCACTGTATATGAGCCTTGTCTTTAAACAGCCATCTCACCACAAACTCTAGACCATCTATGCCAAAATCACTCTCTTCTTTCAGCTCAGGTGACCGTGGAATTGCTAACAAATAGCCTAGCTGTGGAGAGAAGAAATATGTTAAAAAAAAACAAAAAAAAAACAACAACATAGAGAGTATGTTTCGGTGCAAAGAAAAACAAATCCTGATATCTCAATGGATGTCAAAATTACCTGTGGTAGGTAAATGACGTTACATTCAGTAATGGAAGAGCTCAGTTTATTCAGTTCTTCTCTTGCAACAGTTGTCATAAAGTCGGGAAGGCCGTTGTATGTTCTTTTCTCTTTAAATTGAAGAAAAAATACCGTTTTTGTAGTCGTAAAACACATTTTCAAAGGTTAGCGCGCGTCGTTTAAGAGAAATGCGATGTGATTCGTTAAGGCCAAAAGGCGGAAGAGCTTCACGACAGCCGGGTACCACGGGCACAATGGCTTGCTTAGGCTGCACCACAAAAGAAACAATGAGCACTGAAAACAGGCGCAAAATAACGGATTTTTGCAGAGTCTATCGTCAGAAGACAACTTTATCAATTTTGCAACTCAATCCGTTAGAGCACAATGAACACTGTTGGCATGCAAAATAAACCAAAACAGAATATCAGTAGGAAATGTAGAGACAACAGCGTAGAGAATATGCATAAATACTAATCCTAGGGTATAAAGAGTTCCTCTAAAGTAACGGCCTAAGCCATAACTAAACAGTAATTACTTTCGTCCAAAGCCGGATCGACTCCAGGTTTAACAACAAATCGATTCTGCTCTGTCGACTCATCGAAGTCAATCTGGGACAAGAAAACTCGAGTCAGTTAGAATTCAAAAAGGCAAAGTCGGGCACAACAAAAAAAGAGTCAGATGTAGACGGATACTTACAATTTTACTCATCAGGCTCCCAATTTGAAGCAATTCGTCCGTAAAACTTGTAGCAATCTGAGAAAGACAAGTAAAATGGGTAAAAAAAAGGGTCTGCATTCAAGCTAAATGGCCCATCCAGCCGGAACTTACATAAATTTCCTAAGCATGAAGCGAACAGGAGTATTACTGCTCCCCCCTAGATGGGAAGCCAGTCCATCGTAAGGTTCCCCCCCCGTACCCCTTTAGACTCCTGGAGGAGGGTGGGGGGTAGAGAGAGGCACTGTGAGAGTAAACTGTTTTGTCCAAAAACACAACACATTGACCGGTGACCCGGCCAGGTCTCATACCCAGACCTCTCGCCCCTGAGTCTTGCACACTATCTGTTTGGCCTCTGCATCTATCTCAGTGCATTCGTAAGCCGTAGGACAATAAAATAAAATCATTGGCATTTTTTTCCCAAACCAAAAATTCAGTTTTGTGCGTCATCAACGCACAATTAAAACTAATTACCAGAAGAAACGCCGTAGTTTAATGTTAAGCAAACGAGACTCGAAATTGAAAGTTAAACGGAAACAATTCACTATACCTTTTTGGCAATTGCAATATCTACGGGAATCCTTCTGCAAAGGTCGGCAATGTAAGTTGCATTATAGGCCGTCTGTAATCAAACAGATCATGTTATAGAAATTTTGGTGTCTCATTAATAAATAGTAGTATTAGTAATACCTTATAGAGAGCTTGCCAATCACCAACAGATGCTTGTGCTGTAGTCATCCTTGATAGTATTCCCTGTGCGGTGAAATAAATATGCATACTAAGTGACGAAGTTCAATTCAAGAACTCATATTCAATATATCAGAGAGAGATGGCGATCATTTGACAAAGGCTCCAAGTTTAGCGTTTTTTCAAAGTTGCCCTTCAAATTCGCCGCCAGAAAAAAAAAAAAAAAAAAAGAGGAAAGAAACGTACTAAACGTACTGATCACACTGCAGTCAGGGTGGCATTTGTTGTTGGAGATTCGTGCGACAACTTACGGCTTAAGCAACCAAGTTGAAAGGCGCAAATTTTTATACAAAAACACGAGAGATTATGAGCAGTATCTTAAGGAAATGTTTACCTCACTTATGATCATTAATAATATACATGAAAAAATTTCTCAGTTCGGATTGGTTACGATGAATGCAGTTTTCAGTTAATTGAGTGCTGAATAGAGTTAATTCAGTGCAAAGAAAGAAAGAAACCAGACATTCTGATTGGTCAGAATGATTGGTCAATGTCAATTTCAAGGTCAATGTCACTTGCAGGGTTTGAATAAATTATTTTTGCACGTGATGCGCGCGCTCTTCTTCTGCGGAGTTATGAGAAGCTACCTCATATTTTTTCATGTATATTATTAATAGATAATCACATGTTTTTCTCGTGCAATTTGGAATAAATAAGCACTTGTAAATTTTTTCAAAGACCGCAAATTGCACTCGCCCTACGGGCTCATGCAATTTTGTTAGTCTTTGAAAAAATTTACTCGTGCTTATTTATTCCAAATTGCACTCGAAATCATGTGATTACCAATACAATACAAAACACAGTGCAGTTAAACTTATAAAAATCGATTTGCCGCAGGACCACAGAACACTGGTCCCCGAATTAGCGACCTTTACGCTGCTAATTTAGTTGCCAAAATGTTTTCTTACTTGCAGTAACGACCAAAACGGTAGCAGCTTCAAATCGTTGTCCATTAACCAGTGAGCCACAGCGAAACCATTGGTGAGTCAGTCCATACAATGTGTGCATAACATAACAACTGTCTTTAAATGTTATGTACGTCAAATATAATTTTACGTTTTCATGGACTAGAATGAGGACAAGGAGGTTATTACTGCGGTAAACTTACAGAGACGTTCTTGATGTGTTTCAAGCAATCTTGTAGAGATGCCACCAGTTCTGCATTTCTAAGATTCATAAAGTAGGATACTGACTTTTGTCTTTGTTGCAGAAGATTGATGTTTCTTGAGGGACGTAAAAACCACATTCTGTAGTTTATAGTTAAGAATAAAAGTATATTAAGAAGCTTTAAGGAAGAAAGTAGGAAAACAGAATTTAATAGATAACAATACAATATGATTTGACAATAATTATTCTCTGAGCAAGAGGAGAATAATTGTTTAGCATAATATAAACGGGTAATTGAATCCAAGTAACTGTATTTTTCTGTGCTTTTTCTCTACAGATACATTTTCAAAATCATGTACTGGCCATTCAGAAAAAAGCGAGTACTTCAGTATTATGATGAAAACCTTAAAAAGTACAGTTTTAGATGAGCAATCAATGCACATGAATCTCTCTCATCAACCATGAAATTACACACAGTACTGCTGCACTAAAAACCACAAAGGAAAAAGTTTTGTACTTTGCAAATACACTTAAAGATCTAGATAACAAAAGCTTTGAAAGTAGAATGATGCCTGATGAGTTCAAAGCCAAACCTCAACATATGACTCCCAATTGCTGATTTTGTTCTATTTGTAATGCCTACAAAGACAAATTCAACAATCAAATTTTTTAGGAAGTATAGACCTCTTTTCAAAATTTCTAGATAGTATTTCATTTAACCTCTTTCACAAGTATATAATTATCAATTTAAGGTCTAGTAACCATTAAATTCACTTACAAAATCCAGATAATTGTTTCAACTGAAATCTTTTTGATACATTAAGTCCCCTTGTCCCTTCTTACTGAAATTAAATCTACATAATATCACAGGAAAAAAGGGTTTTTTCAAATATCACAGGCAGGCCAAATAGGTTGACCAGGTCAAATTGTGCCAATCATGAGAGAAAAGGAAGCTTTTGAGTGAAAGAGCTTGATATCTCATTGTGATTATGCAGAAAGTGTGGTTCAACACAGACTTCTTATTGAATTTACCAAAGAGAGATAGTCCTTCCTTGGCACCACTGTTCCCTGCTCCCATCTTGTACACAGAGGGGTGACTTTCCTTTTGAAAAATCTGTAAAGCACTTAATAAGCAAAGAGGGGGAAAATCAACAGTAAGAGGACTTTACAATAACTGAGTCATATGACTGGCTATGCAGTAAATAAGTGCACTATATAACACTTACTATAACATTATGGCTTCTAAGTTACCCCACCTTTCAGGTCTTTGAGCTTAAAGATGTTTTGAATTCTTAAGTCTTTAGCTATTTAACTATTTATGCACTAAAGACACTAATTTATTTGAAGCTCTTCAGAATCTGAAAAATCTCTCTTCTTTGAAAGCTGTTCTGAAGAGCATAACTAAAAAAATGCATGGTTATTAGGTGGGTGAGTGACAAGGAGTTAGTTAAAGACCCTATGCATGGGTTATCTATGGTCTCAATTGTCTAACATAGATGCAAGTACAAACCTGTAAGTATTGTTATCCACAATGAGAAGATCACTCCTATCATAAAGTAAAGAAACATAGAAATATTTAGGTTAACTAATTGTAGTCCAGTGAAAAGAAACTTGAAATAGCTCCTTGTGTGTCACAAAATTTTTGGCAGAGTGTTAAAAATTGCTATTAATTTAAAAACAATATTTAAATTAATAATCATTATAATAATAATAATTGCCCCACATAAGACACCAAAGAGCAATGAAAAAGCCAAAGGAAAACAAGTCAGGATTTGAGGATAGAGAAATAAAACAAAGACTGCAAATAACGAACAAGAAAAAACTTGAGGCTAACTTTTTTCCAAATGCAGATCATGTGGGCATAATCCCTTTGACTTACAAAATTTTGAAACATTTAGTACCTATTACTATATCATACTAGTATTGTTCTCACCAAGAAAAACCAACAGCATTAAGAATTGAACAAATAAAACATTGAGTCCCACTGCTATGGGTTAAGGCTGCAACTGCGTATCTTCAGTGCCACAGAAATTTGCTTGATCTGATTATAGGTAACACTTAGTGATTGCTAAGGGTATGCAGTACTAAATGAATAAAGTGTTACATGCCACCATCATGATAATACTCCAAAGAATACCAAAGCTACCATACTCACAGAGAAAATACTTTGAGGCCCAAAATGGGGACTCTCACTTCAGGATCTTCCATTTCAACACCAATTCGTTTCTTGTCAATGTATTTAATCAATGCACCAGCACTTCGCACCTTAATATATGAACATTAATTTGCATGTCTTGATTAGTTATAGAACACTCAAAAGTGTAATATTACCTCATGTATGTGAAGAAAAGAGTGATAGAGAGAGGACAGGACAAAAAGGGGATGAGAGGAAGGGGAAGAATAAGGGATGGAACAAAACTGAAGAAAGGCTAAACGATAACAGGAAAAGAAGATCTGATCAGGGAAAAACTTGATTTATTTTGAAGCAATTACCTTAACTTTCAGATTTAAAAGAAAGTCTAGAATTACATGAATTGATGAGGAAAATAAAATTCCATTCCATACCATGCTGACATTGTCAAATGGGACAAGTGAGCTCATATGTATATCTCGCTCATTTTCTGTAAAGTGCTGTGGAATTCCTGGCAGGCATGCATTCAAAGCAGTTATCCTTCTCTTGCAAACTTCATAAGCTACACAGGCCAGGAAACATGCATGATCAGTAATGCATAGAGCAGTTTCTGCATGACTATATTGGAGCTTTACAAGCTGGTTAAATTACCTCCTTGCTATATGACATAACTGTAGTAACCATTTTGTATATATTATTCAAAGTTATTTCTGGCATGTAACTGAAATCATTACAGAAAACTTTACTTGAAGTTTTCACTTTGTAATTATCACTACCATGTGTCAATATCAGCCATGAACAGAAAAAAAGTTGCGAAAAAATTTCCTTATTCCTGTGTATACTGTATCATTCTCAGTTGTATTACTACACTGGCTAATCAATTTAACACCTTGCCAGCTAAGTTCAGAAACATGGCCCAAACACTAAGTATAGAACACATTGCTCTTCATTGAAACTCACAAAAATCTATGCTTGGAAGAATTTCAACTTCTTTTGTCTCACAAATTTGTTCATCATTGTTTTCACCCTCTGAAATCAGAAAAAAAGACTCCCACCATCAGTATTTCTGTTTATAAAATAACTTAGACTCTCTATATGTTCTGACTGATCAAAAATTGTCACTGTTGCTTTGAAAAAACCCAGAGCTATTTTATAAAAGTATTGGACGGCTCTTTAGTAATAAAGCACTCTGGATGTTGACAAAACAGTCTCTGGCTTGTGGTTTATAAACTCTTATGATGTACATCCCTCACAACATCTTGTCTATGGCCCTTAGGCTCATAAGGTGCACTCTACTGTTTAATCATATCATCCTGTAATAATTAACTCATGAATAAAATAATTGACAAATTTAATACATTGCCTGAATAATTCTTTTTCTGGCCTCAATACAATTTTTTTTTCGTTCCAGCGTCTTTAATTCACAATAGACGACCTTTTCATTTAAACATAATAACTTTATTTAAAAACTTAAAACACTACAATAACTTCGCATGGATAATGGTTTTTCCTCTCGTACATTTCCAAATTAATTGACACGAAATATATCTATTAAATTCAGTTCTCTAGGATCAGACTTGCACCAGACCCAAACTAACTTTGATAGCAAAAATGACCTACATATAAAAATCATGAAAGCAACTACTAGTTCATATTGAAAGAATTTAAAAAAAAAAAACGTGCATCAAAATTATCCTTTAAAAAAATATATGAGAAGGGAAGTGACACTGACAAATTTAATAAACATAATTTATTATTATCATAAATATTATGTATTAAGACAGATATGCATGATGCATACCTTGCCCATTTAAGATCTTAAGCAATCTTTCATCCTGTGTTGCACTTGTTATAATGACTTTGGCCTGAACCTGTTCTTTGACTGGAAAAGAGGAAAGTTGTTATAACCACTCTCCAAATATCTCTTCTTACATGACTAGCTACCACAAATCTGTGAATCACTACAAGTATTCAAACAGTGGGATGCATATGGCTATGAATTGTATCAGTCATCCAGTTGAGAATATGATGAAAAGAAAATAATTCAAATACTGGAAAATTATAGAAGAACAATGGATGTTTCGGCCATATCACACGGCCTTCATCAGGAAACCTCAGATGAAGGCTGTGTGATAAGGCCGAAACATTGATCGTTCGTCTATAATTCTCCAGTATTTGAATTATTTTCTTTTTATCATTGGGATGCATACCTTGTTATCAAACCTTCAACCCTAACTTCATGATCAACATACATATTCTCTATACTGTTCTCTATACATTTCCTGAGGTGCTGACTAGGAGAATTTGCTTTACAATCAAGAGCTTAATACTTGGTGATCATTTCCTCTATTCCCAAATCTCATGGTGTGATTTGGCAGTGATATTGATAAGCAATAAGGAGAAATCAGATTCTGGTCACTGTTAGTAGTCAAAGGGTCAATTTAAGCCAGTTCCAATTACCTCTTTTAAGAAACTGGAAATCATTTGTCTCTACAACATCCATTTGGAGATACAGTTGTGAAGTTTCTGTATCATAGTAAGAGGAACCCAAGTTTCCTTTACTCCAAACCACTGACAACACGCGCTGAGAAAAATCATATTTAGGGAAAATAAGTAACTGCCAATTAAATAGTTACTAAATAAATGTAGCACAACATGTCTCATACATGAACATTTCATGGGAGTTCTATTTTGCAGGAACAAATGCATTGTTGTAGCTTTTTTGCTTCCGTTTCCCTAATCTTTTCATTTTTTTTTTGTTTGGTTGGTTTTTTTTAGAACATTATTTTCTAAGACACAAAATGTCGATAGACACATGTTCGTTTCGTTTTTTATTGAACAGTTACCTTCTAAGTTTCTCTCTGTAATATGATCATTCAATAATTTGCTTTGTTTTGTTTTTTCTACTTGCTTGCATGTTTGTTTTTTTCTTTACTGTTCTGGTGAGATTTTGGCACAGCACAAAACTATTGTAAAACAAAGCCACCGTCCCAAAGGCAATCTATCGTTTTTCTCCACTGTTTTTTTTTATCCAAGAACTGTATATATAATTGTATAATGAAGTACGGGGCTGTAGGGGTTCTCTATGTCCTTGTTTCACTTTCTTAAACTTTTTACCTCGTTTGAAAAAAAGAAAGAAAGAAAAAACCTTCTTGATTCGTCACCTTTATTTCTAAAGCCGAAGGACTATCATCTCGTATGTCAGCTACATTTCCACTCTGGTTCACAACATCATTTGCGTTCATACCCTCTGTTTCGTCTCTTTCAGATTCCGTAGCTAAAGACCGCTTTCCTCTTGTAATAACATGTTCATTGTTCGTTGTAGGACACGAAGAAGGCGTCTTACGACGTTTAAAATACGGTCCTGAGTTTTCCACCGAGCTGAGTCTTTTTGAACTGCGATCGACATCTACGGTTGAGGAACTCCAGCCCATCTTTCTCGCCAACGCGTTTGAGTCCTCGGTCGGCGTAAAGCAAGCGTCTGACGATGTTGAAGTCGATGTTTGATGGCAAGTATTCATTCTTCCACAACTGATAAAGAAAACTTGGTTGATATTGTAGCTGTTTACAGCCCTTTGGCAGCCGACGCAGGTGGTCAATTTTTCCCGCCAAAAACTTTTGCCGTTTTCTAATCTGGTATGGTCTTGCATTCCTCATCTCTAGAATATTCTGAAGCTACGCTAAAAATGTTTGCTTACTTTCATACTTTTCGCCACCAAAACCGACCAGTTCTCATTGAAAATAGCATTTACATCGTTGAGTGTTTGAACACAATCTCAAGGAAAAATACAAACTTGCGTTACTGACGAACGCGTGACCAATACAGGTCAAATTCTTCCGACTTCCGGTTTTACGCACTTGACATGGTTCTCATCTTGTCGCGAACGGGTCACCAAAACGGAAAGTCCCATAAGCGGCCATTCAAGCATCTGCACGGCTTGATGGTTTCTTTCACAACAGTTCACTTCACTAAAAACCTCAAAGAGGAAATCAAACAAGAAAAAAAAAACCGAGATGAGATATATTGGCGATTTTTACGTCACTGTTGAAGAGACCGCGTGATCGTTTAACCCAAACATGTCTGGCGGCTTCTTATCAATAAACATTTCGTTTCAGAAACCGTTTCAGACAAAAACCACGAGTTTTCCTGTCTACGGCTTTATCTTCTGATTGTTTCCTGTTTGATTAAAGGACACACCTCGTTAACGTTCCGCATTGTTCTGCAGGGGGCGGCGCCATCTCATGCCCTTCTGAGGAAAAGGAAAAACAGATTCACAAGGACAATCAATGTTATCTCTAAGTTGGAGGTCTCTATGCTTCGCTCTCATTTTTTACGCATTTCTCGCAGAAAAGAAATTTCTTCGCCTTCTCAGGCATCTTAAAAATTTCTTCCAAAAGGGCTTCTTGTGGTCATATTCTTCGTCGCTTTTTACAATTTCTACCACCCCCTCCACCTGTTAAAATAGAACGAGCCATCTATGAGCATAGAACCCATCGAAATCATTGGAAATTAACAGAAAATGATACTAACATCTTAAGTCGCAATCCGACCACTACCACTGAAGTCACAAGGGGATGGAATTAAAAGGGTTAAAAAATAAAGTTCAACGGTTCCGCAAATCCAGATGTCGATGGTGGTGAATCAGTCGCAAAAACTTGGCAAATCTATCGTGAGAATTGTGTTAAAAAGAAAAAAAAAAAACCTTACGAGGAAAGGTCAAATACGAGTTAATTTTCATGCTCCGGCGAATTCTAATTTCCTATAATTTTTCCTTTAAAATTTACAGCAGAAATGTGAATATTTTCGTGGCAGTTTTTTTCGGTTTTACAGACAGCATAAACTTCCTGTCTAATCCGGTGATGTTGCAAACAGTACAACATATTGGTACCAAAATGGTTCAAAATGTAAACAATATTATAGTCTGAATATTCAATTCGTTCTTCGCATGTTTAACAACAAACACTTCGCTTTGAAATAAACACCCAGCTGATTTTATTCAATTGTTTTCGTAAACTAACACAACAATTGTTTGGGGAGAAAAACCTTGTATTAGGTAAGAGATTTCTGAATCGTGACCTTCTTTAATGCGCTTCGGGCAAATTCTAATTTCTTCGCCATTTATGGTAATGCGGCAAGGCTAATTTCAAACCACCTGCCTTTTACCAAACTCGAGAGCTTTGAATATTAGAAATTCGAGGCACGTTTTACAGAGAATATAAACGTTCGTTTCTTCCCCCGAGAAACGATGAAAAAAAAATGTAAAGTCTAGGATGAAAGATATTTGATAGTCAGTTGTGAAATCAATGCACAGATTTCTCTTGTGGGTGGAACATGACGCCACAAAACGGTTGATACAATTTTCTACGTGACATTTGAAAAATAATCACACATGCGATGAGACTAGATTTCATTTCACAAAAAGAAATTCCATTCTATAAACTCAAGTCTCAACACTTACCAGCTTGGTAAAGAAATTACGAAATTAAGAGAAAAAACATTGGCCAACATAGATGTGATGTTGCCAAATGCATTTCCGGTGACAGAACGAAATTTGAAACCAGCTATTGCCCTTGGCACGCGTCATCCGTGGCTATTTGTCACGCTTTTTGCAACATAGGGCGTGAATACGAATCGGAAAGGATGAAAGACCAATTAAACACAGCCTTGCAGTTTCTCGGAAGAACAATTAATATCTCAAAAACTGAAAAATATAGAAGGAAGTAGTTGAAAGTTGGGTGCGACCAATTTCCTTTTCGTTAAACATTTTGGTCGTCGTTTCCTACAAAAACCGACGTTTTCTTTAGAAATAAAAAAAGAATAGTTTTAAAATATTAATTCAACTCTTTTCTGAAAACCCCAATTTCTCTTCTTGATGTTCCGGGAAATCTTTGGGCAAAGTATAAATTTTCGAAACGACTTTTTACAAATGTTTGCTCAGATATGTTTGAACAGTGCAATGCGAGGAATAATCTTTTTTTCGCAATGCTTTGCTTGATTTGAATCAATTATGAGAGTTTCGTGCTCTCTTGAAAATCAAAGAAAATTCTACAATTCGCAAGAAGTTGTTGCATGGAAAATTCGCGCTACCGGTTGTCGCCTAGGAAATGGCTCTTTTGTTTTCGGCATGTTTTCTAACTGACGTCATACGCATTTGTTCGTAAATCACGTGCGGATAAAATTAATTAAAAAGAACCAATGATCACTCGTCAAAGAACAAAGTTCGTACTTTCGACCAATCATATTTGCGATGACATACACGGGACGAAAATAGAAAGTGACTAAAAACCATATATGAATGGTTTGCTACGGAAATAAAAAGTTGCGTAGTCGCAAACGTTAAAGCAAACTTGAAATTTCTGAGTCAGCTGAATCGTCTGAATTTTCATCAGACCGACTTCGTGAATGGAAGCATCATTGTATGACGAACAAATTATGCCCACAACATCGAGTTCTCAAAGTGCGACGTACGATAAAGGCAACTTGAAACTTGATTTCACGTCGCCGAGTGCGCGGAGGCAAACTTCGCTGGAAGGCGCACTACTAACTTCTCCGGATTTGAATTTGCTCACTTTGGGTTCTCCCGAGCTGGAGAAATTGATTATGGGTTATGGAGGAATCTTGACGACTCCAACACCGACTCAAATCTTCAAAGGAACCTCCTCTGTGACAGAGCAACAAGAATCATACGCGCGAGGGTTCGTAGAAGCGCTTCAAAAATTACACGACCAGCAACAAGAAGCTGGGGGACAAAACACGTCGCAAAGCGTTGTGAATACAAATGCTTTGTTACTGAATGCTTTAAATCAATCGTTTGCCACAGCAGCGATAAATAACACCACTAGTACAGTAGCAGCTACGACACCAATGCTCGCGTCGGGCACGTCCACAATTTCGACACAATCACTTCCGCTGGTTTCGCTATCCGGAGCGACACAGATTTTCCCAGACTTTCAAAGGACCTCTGCGGCAACGGCACAACCCAGCACAAGTTATGCGGCATTAAACATACAGATTCCACCTCAGCAACCACGACTGGACAACGTTAAGTTAGAAAACGAATCGCAAGTCGTCCCCGGAACGCCACCTCTACCACCGATCGATTTGGCGTTACAGGAAACAGTTAAGAACGAAAGAAAGAAGCAGAGAAACCGGGTCGCTGCGTCAAAATGCCGCAAACGGAAGCTTGAAAAGGAAGCCGATTTGGAAGATAAAGTTATCAATCTTAAAAACATCAATTCTCAGCTACACACCGAGGTTTGCGAACTAAGAAAGCAAGTTTGTCAGTTGAAAATTCAAGTTATGGATCACGTGCAGGGCGGATGTGAAATCATGCTACTGAACCAGCCCTCAGGAATAGCAGTTTCTACTTCAGCTTAGCTCTTAAAACCCGTTAAAAGAACACTGGATTTTGTTTTTAATTGCTGAAAACGTCTCGTCTACTGAAATGAGCGTTTGATCGCTCTTTCACGAACGTCTGATCGCGAGAGCTAGAACAGATAGGTAAACCGGAACTTCGCATTCAAAGCACGTGGAGCTGAGGTTTGATCTGGTTTTCAAAACCGGATTTTCTATTCGGCGTAGAAGTGAACTTCACAGATCGAACTTTACACGAACATACATCGATCGAACGCTTTTAACTAGGGAAAACAGTTGCATGTCATGTTATAACAAAGTTAGGTTTGTCATCCAAAATATTGGAGATTGTACTGTAATCGTTATATTACTAACAACATATGTTCTCTCGAGTTTACAGTAGTTTCATTCCCTCATTCATAGTTTATTGAAAGGCCAAAAAATTATTCAGTGCCAGTAATTTATACCTAGAGTATCCCTATTTATTTCACGATCAGGATGTCAAAATTCGAAAGAAACAGGAAAATTTTGAACACAAAAAAATCTTATTATAGACGGATCAATTCACATACGCTGAGTACGTGAGCTGTGATCGACAATCAAGTAAGGTTATTTACAATAATTCTCACAAGTATGTAACGTTAAAAGTCTAAGAAGTAAAAAGAAGGGAATATTTAAAAGATCTTGACTGTTTAAGGCTTCGTTAACCCTCCAAAAAACAACATAAATTCTGCATGTCCTAAGTAATTGAGTGATAAGATCAACCAGTCATTAGCAACATGTGTCGAGTGATGTAGAGTTTTTAAGAGTGTTATAATATATTACACCTTACAAGAACTTCTTTGTTGAGTTTTTTTGATAAGTTATGGAAATGGCAATGGCTACCTGCAAAGGAAAATGAAAAACAGGAAGATGGTCCATCAAATGGGGGGTTTTCCCTATTAATTGGCTTGTGGGAAATTCCTTTCCGAAATCAAAAGTACTTCGATCCCTGTAAATTTCCCACCCGCATTTTACTCACACAGGAAGTGCAGAAATGTGATTTTGTCTTCTGATAAATGGCAAAGAATTCCAAATATTAAAGAGTTGTTAGACATTTGCAAGCCTTGAATAACAATAGCAAAATATCAGACCTCTTAATAGCAACACAACAGGAAGGGTGGGGCATTTCTGTATTGTGCCCAGTAGGGGAGGTGGGGGGCAAGTCTCAAATATGATTGAAATTTTCTAAACAGCCTTACATCAAATACAATAAAGGCCCATTAAAAAACAGTTTCAACCTTTGATTCAACGTGCATTCAACATTTTGTTGAACCAAATGTTCAGTGCATTTAAACAGGTAGTTCAACATTGTTAAAAATGTTGAAAACTTGATGAAAGTATGTGGAATCAAGTTCAAATTAGTTTAAACTTTCATTCAACATCGATTCAACTTTTCCTTTGTAAGGCCTTTAAAAGGCCTCCACACCACTTTGTTTTTGCGTTCAGCATTTGCCCAACATCCATTCAACTTTTGGTGAACGAATGTTGGTCAAATGTTGACACCACTTAAAAAGGCCTTTAAGACATACTTATAAAAGATGTTGATTCCAAAGCAGAGATCTGGCACCATCTGAATGAAAAAAAAAAAAAAAAATTAAAACTCATAAAGCTAACTTGGTTAATTTAATGAATTCCAATGTTAATCTCAACTCACTTTCACTTGAATCTCCCCTGCCCTGTGTAATAACTTCATTAAACCCTTAACCCTGTAACTCCTGAGATCTGATTAAGAATTCTCCCCTCTAGCTGCTAGACATTTCCTTGTAAATTAATTACAAGAATTTGGAGTTCAATCAAGGTGACAACTTCTACTTGCTAAGTTTGAGTATTCTCATTACCTGTTTGCTGGGTCATGTATAAATATTACAAGGAGAAGTTGTAAACATGTTAATCACTTCTGGGCGTTAAAGGGTTAACTCCCAAGATCTAATTGCTAATTCTCCACTCAAGCTACTACACATTTCCTCTTAAATCAGAAATCACACTTTCAGCTGAATCTCCCCTGCCCTGTGTAATAACTACATTAAACCCTTTACCCTGTAACTCCTGAGATCTAATTATGAATTATCCTCTCTAGCTGCTACACATTTCCTTGTAAATTGGTTACAACATAGTTAGTAGAGGGGTGGTGTTAGATCAAGATAAAAACTTCTATGTGATAAGTTTGAGTATTCTCCTTTCCTGTTTGCTGGATAATGTCTAGATATGATGGGAAGAAGTTATATTTTAATCACTTCTGTTAGGAGTTAAATTATATGTGTTAAAAACAGCAGTCATCACAGAGAGTAGGCACTCATAACGATCAGTGGCAATTTATTTACCTGTTCTTCAGACTTACGACAAAATATTTAATGGCAATATTTGATGATTGAGACCAAGTGGTATAACCTTGAAGTAATATAACAACAGCTACCTAATACAAGTAATGAGAACTCAGTCATTCACCCAGTCTTCCTCGACTCGTCATAATTGTTGTTACCCTTTAGTTAGTCCCAAAAATTTCAAAGTTTAAATTCTCCTTACTGTCTACCGAACATTTTTTGCTATAAATTCTAAGAATTTGTTGTTAAATCAACTTCATAGGGTTTAATGTGAATTGCAACTTCTCTGTTAGGTTCATTAAATCTTTGAACAAGATCGAGTTAAGTGTCAAACCAATTGTCTGATCGTCCACCTGGTTGCTTTGTGAATTTTACTTGATATTCCTTCATTAATCAATATCTTTTTATTATCATTATATTATTCTCATGCATTTACCTGTCTGCATAAATGTTTAAAAGATATTGTAAAAAGAAATTACCAATTGGTTATACCTGATTTGTGATTGGTTAGAGTGAAACAGATTTATTTTTGGTTTCAACTTAGACTAAAGTGTTTTCTCTAAAACATGCATCACCAGCTTCTTTTGGGTAGAAAAACTGAGCCAATTATAAACATAGAATCACATAATTGAATAAAATCTTGCAATCTGATTGGTTAACAAAGCGAGCTACAATAATAGCCCGCGTATTAGAACCTGAATTTTTCAATTTAGCCTAAATAGGTTCTTATATAAATGGTACTTAAAGCAAATTTAGGCTACCAAGGTTCTTAAAATAGGTTCTTATATTTTCATATGAATTTCATCTGAATATACTACATATATTAAAAATATTATCTCAAAATACAGTATAAATCATTTATTTGTACCATTATTTGTGAAATTCAGTGAATCACAGAAAACTCAACAAGATAAAAACGCTTATTGTTCATATATCTATCTGTCAGCCACAAGCAAAAACAAATATTGATATGCTGTATCTAAAGCATCTATCACTTTAAATCACTTCACATTGACTTGAGAACTGCTGAGACATTTCCCATTGGGAGCTTACGTTGTTTTGATATTTTGCAATTATTTATTTCATTGGGATATATTTTGATATTTTATATTTGACATTTTGTGATTCTCACAGAGTTGGAGATGGTCAGAAAGCTTTCTTTGATACTGTAGTAGAGTACAGTACTTGGAAATACTTGGGGAATTATATGAATGGCAGACACAATAGAGTGACATACGGTACTAATAGAGTGACATATGGTACTAATAAGCTTGAAAGAAAAAAAAGTTATGTCAAGTTACTTTTAAATAGATGATGATCTTAATTCAGCAGTTTCTACCTATTCACTTTTACAGCAACCCCACTGATAAGAACCTAATTTAAAATTTTAGCCTAAATAGGTTCTTATGTGGAGGGGGCTTAAAATCTAAAATTTTAGCCTAACAGTTTCTTAAAACCCAGGTTCTTATATGCGGGCTATTACTGTATTTAGCATGGAATTTCAAGTTGAAAATGAGTGATATTGATTTGCACTTTTTTATTTTGTGCAGCTAAGGAAAAAAACAAACAATATCATTTCTGTAACTCAGTACAGCTTTTTTTCTTATATTTATTCAATTAAGCAATTCAACGGAAATCCATTACCTGACCTGGTGCGGAATTTGGTGTTAAATTGCACTTGAAAACCAATATCATACTCATATCACTCAAGATCTCATTAGTAATTCTCCTAACTGTGTGCCATACAATTCTTTAGAGAATTTTGTATTAGATCAATTGATTCAATATCAGTCGATCTGTATGTATTTTTCCCACTATAGTGCTTTTCCAAAAAAGAAATTTGGATTGATTCAATTACACAAATAACAATTGAGGGATCCCTGAATTGTTATTTTTCTTTATATATCCACATCACTTGTCTGCTTGATATTGTATGTTGATATTGTAAGGAGAAATTCTGTCTTGGTCAGTTCTGTGAGTTAAAGGTTTTCTATAATAAATTAATATGTACTTCTTTTTAGCTTATAATGTAGTAAACTAATGCATAGCTTATGACTGCAGTAATATTGTTACAGTAGTAGTAATGAAATCTCTTTATGCTTACAATGTGTAGTATTTACTTAGTTATTACTAATACCCGCCAAGATTAGCTAACGCTTATATATGCAGGTTGTGTAAATTGGCTTTTAATGTTCCATGAAATAATAATAAAAACAGCAGCAGCAACAGCAGCAGGTGATTCAAATTTTACATGTCAGTTAATTTTGTTGCTGAGTGAAGTTGAACACAGTTCAGTGTTGAAGTAAACAATGACCTCAAGCTCTTTGATGCCTATTAAAAAAATCTGTGAAATGCTTTTGAAAAGATGCTGTTGAGTCAAAACTGAGTTTTTTTGTGTAATTGAATCAATCCAAATTTCTTTTTTGGAAAACCACTATAGCGTAAAGTGGGAAAAATACATACAGACTGACATTGAATTTCATAGCTGAATGGGAAAGTGCAAACTACATATCAGGAGACAATGAAAGACAAGATGATACTGCATGAGTAGAAAAACATTTTACCTTGAGTTCATTACTCCTGAAATGCAAGACTCTTTCTTTGTGCTTAAAAATGCTTGTGAAAAAAATGCAACCTGCCCTTTGGGCTATTTAGTTCAAGTTAATCAAAGAATTCTGAGTCTGGAAGAACAAGGCATTTAAAGATCAAAATAACAATGATGGCAAGCCCAATAATTACATAAAATCCCAAAATAACAAAATTGGTGGAGGACTATGGCATAAATGGCCAAGGTAATTTTTAATTTCTCTAACACAAAACTCAATGGTACCGACAAGTTTGTTCAAAATGTTGCAATTTGAGTACCAATCTAAATCTGCTAAAACGAGATAACTTCTGATTCAAAAGGCAAAATATTGACGAAAATGAAAGCTCTAAGGTAAGATATCCTTTCGGTGAAATTGTATGCATAGCTGGTTTATTACTCATGGAGCTAAGTTTAGAACAAGAAAATGAAAAACCTGGCATTGCACTTTTTTTGGAAAGGAAATCTCAAACTTGTTGTCATTTGCCAAAATTAATTAACACATTCTATATATTCTATATTCTATATATTCATATAACATTTTTCAAGGTGTCTCTTACTTAACACATCATCCTTCCGAACTGTCGGTCTGTCCTGCACCTCCTCACACTTAGTCACTTTAAAAACTCTATCTCCAACTCTCATCTCTCCAAGACAGTTTTGCACACATCATCAATGTCAAATAGTTATAAAAGAAGCCATTTGATCTTTAAGAGTGACCAGCATCTAATTTCTCCTTACAATATGCACCCCTGAATCAAACAGTAACGTCATGAGAATAAAGGAAATTATTACCAACTGAAGCTCTTGATTGTTTAACAAATTCTCCTTGTAGGCACTATAGGAAATGTATAGAGAACAGCATGGGGAATATGTATATTGATGTTAGGGTGTAAAAGGTCATAATTGAGGCCCTGTTTAGGAGGTATAGATGTCGCCCGTCTGAATTTCAAACTTTGTCACATCGCCATTTCGGAAGGTTCTGATGTCGCTGTCACAATTTCATCAATGTCATGCTCGAAGTCGCATTTTCATTTCCCTAATGTCCCTGTTTCAATGCCATGTCGCCAGTCAGAATTTATTCTATTAGGGCCTCATAATTAAGTCAAATATTGCCTTAGTAGTAAAACTGATTACACCATTTCCTTGAATAACCACCCATGCTCCAATACATGCCCTCTTACCAATAAGCACCCAGCCTCCCCCAGGCCATAATGTCAAACACCCCCCCCTCCTCCCTCACTTTCTTAAATAGTATGGATGAAAAGAAAACCTGTTTCTATTGCCACTTTCTTTACAACTTTCTTTACAATGCTTCAATTTAGAGTGGATGAAGTACAAGTGAATAATTTTGTTTCCATTCCAGTTATTTTGTTCTACATTTGCTAGTAGAGCCCTTAAGGTGCATTTTATGTTCTCTTAATTTTTTTTCTAATTGTGCCAACTTTATAAGAGCCTTCCTTCATTTAGTGCCCCTCTCTTCGGAGCCAAAATTTTAAATCAGCACTTGGGCACTTATTCAAGGAAATATGGCATCCTCAGAAATACTTGTACAAATGAAAACAGATGGAAAAACTCTAAATTTCCTAAGCTGCAAAAATTAAGCATAGCAAGTTTCTGTCAGCTAGCCATCTTGTAGTATCTATATCCGCAGGGTGGGACGTGGGGGAATTAATTCATTTAGGAGTGGAGAACGCTATGCGGAGAGGTCACCTTCACAACAAGAATTAGGAAAATTCACAGAAACATTACACTGAATAAAAGAAAAACATGAAATTTCTTCTACAATATGCGATTATGACCTCTAATCATTAAACGAGAACTTACCAAGGGCCATCCTGCCAAGAAATCCTAGGAAATTGGATCAATGCAACTGAAACCTCCAATTATTATATGCTCGACAGAGTGCACCAAGTGGATTGAAAGCCGACGAATCATTCTGAATAATAATTGATATACTGCTTGTTTTTTCCTAGCCTGAGAGCACTGCAGAGACTGCAGACACCCGTCTTCTCTGCCGGTGCGAAGATGTGAGCCGAGTGCAGGGGTCTGGAACGCAACCTGTGACACTACCAGGCCTCTCAGATCTATCGCCGACTCGCGTTTCTCAAGGCCTCGTATTTTCGATTTTCCAAGAAACGCGCGTGCTGAAGATAAATAAAGGCCTGGTTGCAGTCTAGTTTGGTCTGTCGAGGCCTTCACTCAAGTTCCAGTTCTCGTCACGCACCGGCACTTCTTCCTCACGCGATTATGTGAGCATGCAGAACTCTTTCAGCGGATTTGTTTATAACAGGAAACCGTGACGTTTCGATGTTCACTCAGAAAAATTGGCTACAAAAAAAAAAATCGATACAAGCAAAGATTCTTAATCATTCGCAATGGCCTGTGATGTTAGGAGTATTGTCGACTACCAAAGATATCCAATTGCAGAGTCTGAGAGCCACATTCTCCAGGAGGTTATAAACCGTGCTAGGGGCGAACTGAACAACAACGGCATTGCGTTGCTGCGAGGTTTTATGCTACCTTGGGCTATTCGTCAAACAGTCCGAGACGCAGAAGAAGCCTTACCGGATGCATTTTGTAAAAAAGTTGATCACACCGTCTATCTAGAGGAATGTCAAGATTCTCTCCTGGAGAAAGATCATCCTCGAAACATAATGTCTCGATCTTGTAAGTGTTGCATTGCTCACGACCAAATCAAGACAGACTCGCCGCTCAATCAGCTTTATATGTCTCTAGAGATGACAAATTTTGTTCGACTTTTGCTGCACAAAGACGTGCTTTACCGTACGGCTGATCCGTTGGGAGCCTTAAGCTTGCAGGTCTACAGGGAAAATGATGGGCTTGATTGGCATTTTGACCGGGGGGAGTTCGCTGTTACACTCCTCCTTCAAGCGCCAGATGGTGGAGGACGTTTTCAATACATTCCATCAACAAGGTAAAATGGTCTTAGATAGGAGCAGATATGTCATCAATGTAAGAAATATACGAAATTTTTAAAAGTAATGTCTCAACACTTCTTATGTCATCTTCAGTTAAAATATCTAAAAAGTACAAAGTTGAATTTAAAGTTTATAACAAAATACTCATGAGACAAAAACAACAATAGAAGCAAAACAATGTATGTCACTGCAAGGAAAGTTTTAGGTTGACGTGATACAGTTTGTGATTAATTATACGTTGCTCCCGTTGACTGGCTTCTTTATTTGGAGAGCCGTGGAAGCATGATCCATGATGTTATTTAAAACGCCCATCAGAACATAGATTGCAGCATTGTTGAGAATTTTGTAGATGTCTGAAAATATGAGAGGACCTATCACTAACCAAGTGCTCAGTCACATGTATGGATAAACTTATGATCAAAGAAGCCATTTGTATTCAATGGGAGCAACCTACACTTAGTCATCAACTGTATCAATTGTAAACCCAAAACTCTACTCTCAGGTACAGTTAACAAATCACCTCCTGTGAAAGCAGAAGTTTATGATGCAGTTTTAAACCCTTTAATTCCCAGAAGTGATCAACAATTAACTTCTACCCATAGCATCCATACATTTTCCAGCAAACCAGGAATAAGAATAGACAGTCTAATCAGTAGAAGTCGTTATCTTGATCTAACATGAATTGCTGTAACTTATAATTTACAAAGAAATGTATAGCAGCTACTGGGGAGAATAACACACACTAACATCAGTATGTATATTCTCCATACTGTTCTTTATACATTTCCTAAGGTGCTGACAAGGAGATTTTGTTAACAATCAAGAGCTCCTCTAGTTGATGATCATTTCCTTTTTTCTCATGACCTTTAAAGCTGACCCTTTAAGGTTGATATTGTGAGGAGAAACTAGATTCTGGTCACTCTCAGGGGTTTGAGGGTTAATCCGTCTAAGTGTTGCTAAGGAGACATGTAGACATAGTAGACATCTATATTTATACAGGATAGCTCCTTCAGTGTGGTTAACACTGGTATCAATGGGGGTCCTGTTAACCACCCATCCCACCCCAGGGGAGGACATCCATCACACAGTAATCTCGTGGGTGGGAAATTAACATCTCCTGCCCCTAACCCTGCAGGAGACGGGACCTCCATTTATTCGTCCCTATCCGAGAAGACTAGAACATCAAACCATTTCTTGATGTTATAGAAAGTCAGCATATTCTTCTCAATTCTTTTAAGACCCTGAGTGTTGGTCCGGCCGGGGCTCGAACCCTCGACCTCCCGCACAACAGTCCAGCACTCTATCCATTGAGCTAACGGGGAAGCTAAGCTGAGTTTCCTTCTAGCTGGAAGCAATCAAAAATGAAATTTCAAATTATTTTTCTAGTACAAATAGATCAGTTGGAAATGAAAACTATGACCTAGTCAAGCAAGTGCTACTTGCTTCTAAAGCTGGACAAGATCTGTCTGGTCTTGGAGTGAAAGAAGCTGATCTTCAGCCAGGAACACTTGTGGTATTCTGTGGGCATAACTCAATGCATCGTGTTACCCCTATAGAGGGCAAAAAGTCTAGAATCATAACTGTGTTATCTTATGAAAAGAAACCGGATGTTTACTTAAATGAATACACCAGAATGAAATTCTGCGGGCGCTTGAAATAAATCTACTTGCAGACTTACTAGGTAGAATTGTAAATAGAGCTTTTGTAGATTCCTTGCTCGCACACTTTTTAGGAAATTCTAGGGTCGTTTCAACCATTACCCTTATAATGATTATGAGGCTGCGTGGCCAAGTGGTTAGGATGCTGGAGCTGTAATCCGGTGTCTCGCATTCAAATCCTCTACTCTGCCACTCATTGAATTTGTTCTCAGTTGCTCATAGTTCAACTCCTTGGTGTACTCTTGTAAATAGCCCACTAGTCTACCTTCTGCCAGTGGGGATTTTTAAGCATTTAGTTAGTTTACATTGTGGCTGAAAAGCCCCTAAGGGGGAGCTTCAATTTGCGTATTTATTTTTATTTTTTTTTATTTTTAATGATATCATTGACAAGTGGCTTCTATTATGCTGTGAATTTATTCAGTAACAGGTCACAGATGACGTCAAATGTGATGATCATGACAAAGGGACGTTCAAAGCTTTTTTTTCTTTCAAAAAGGATAGCTTTTTGACAAACTCTCATTCCCTAGCTCCTGACCCCTCTCCTTCTGCTCTGCATCTACATTCTTTACTCACTAATCAGGGGAGAAGGGGAGTATGAAAAAATTCATTTCATGCGTGGGGTGGGGGGGGCTTCAGTCAGAGCATATTTAACAATTATTCCACGAGCGCACGTTGGATATGAGATGATAGATAGCCAACGAGGCGCATAGCGCCGAGTCGGCTGTAGTCATCTCATATCTAACAAGCGCAAGTGGAATAATTGTTTTATTAAAAAGTTGACATTAAATTAAATTATTCAATTTTATTAAATTTTTTAGCTCTTAATTTTAAGCTGATGCATATATGCTTACCATATTTGTAGATTATGGCTCATATACCATAATGGCTAAGCCAATAAAAAGTCTTGAATCGCATTATCCAATGATCCAGTTTTTAATAATTCCTATTATTGAGCCAATATACAGTAATCTAATATCTGTACATTGTAACATTTGGGTTCTTCTTACAAAATAAAGTCAAGAAGAATTGTCTAATATCTTGGGGGCGTTTTTTTTT